TATAACTTGAATATAAGGATCGAGTACTTTTATGATATTAGAGAGATATAAAAAGAGATCTTATTTGACTTGATAAAATTTCAGGATACGAATTTAAGTTATGAATTTTGAAAAATTTTTTTGAATATTTATTTTTAGGATACATTATTTTGTCAAGTCCTAAGGTGGCAAACGTACTTTTGTACGGGCTTAGGTCTTACAGGTCTTACAGTAGCAATGAAGATCAGACGAAAGGAGATCTTATGTTGGAATTGCTACTGCAGCGAACTATCGATCACGTGACCAAAATTCGGCCTAATCACGAGGTGACGATCAATGTTCGAAATGTTGCATATGTTGCATATTTGTAACATATCAAATATACTGTATGCAACTTATCAAATATGTTCAATATATCAAATATGTTTAATCTATTCAATATATGCAATATGTTAGATATTTTTAGTCTAGTATTTTTACATATAAATAGACCTATAAAGAAGAGCATTAAAATGTATCGGTTGATTAGGATTTAATTAATAAATAAAGTTTATCTTTAAATATACACTCTGATATTTGAGTTTTGCTAATCTGTGACCTTTATTTGTACCTGAGTGTATGCACTAGTGTTGAGTGATACATTATTTACATCTGATCGGTTCAATTTTAGCGTTAACGACGATCTATTAATTATAACCTTCTGCCTACTAAACCCTAAATATAAATTTATATACATAGCTTAATCCTAAGCATACAAGAACTGACTTATAGCACTACTATAAGGTATATGAGGATCGAATCAGATATTTCAGGTCTGTAAACAATATCGACGACCAATCAGCAAGAACAATGGTGTACAATTAGATCAAAGCCCTTCTCCCCCGACATTACTGATGTAAACTTGCGTCAGAAAACGTTCGGAGCCAAAAGAATTTACACACTATTTATGGGAATAGGAATAGATAAAATCCAAGCAGCTAGCATAGTGCAAGTGCTTGTCTGAACACAGATTCAGGACATTATTAAATGTTTCCCCCGAAAGACCGAAAATACAGATGAAGTGATCGGCATTACAATTGTAACACACGTGACTGAATCTTTTGACTCAACCACACCTATTCTTTCATCTCATGACTCCAATTTTTTGGGTGATTCCAAAGGAAACGGTCCAGGCAATTCGTCCAAAGCTGAAGTGATATTCCTCAGGAGAGATCCAAATCCCGGCTTCCAATCTCTATTTTACCTGAAGATCCCGAAGAGAAGCGAAACATATCATTGGGTTGGTGCTAGAGCAGTTTCCTTATCAATCTTTAAGGGATAGTGACGAACGTGGTGATAGGTTTAGTCTTAATAGTTCAGCACTCTGTCCTATTATACGTCGCCTTTATGATCGGCCGCCAGAATTATAATAAATTATTTAAACACAAATAACGATAATAACGATCACATTTATTTAGAGTAATTTTTTAATTACTTAATATTTCTAATTCAAGAATATTTTAAATTTGGGTTTCTCAAAACTTCATACAATGTGATTACTAATCACTATAATTACTATCAAATTTGTTATACCGTATGTTCATTCTTTAGGATAACCAATTATAATTATAAGATGTTTAATTAAACACGAGTTTGGACTACAAATTTATTATTCATTTGTCAAAATGTCTAAGTTTTCCCTATATGTATAATAATTTCTTGCAAAATACTTTATTTTTAATTATTATTATCAAAATTGATTTTGCATTAGCTAATTCCTTTTTTTTTAAACATAAATAAACAATTATCGTATATACTGTATGTTGTGCGTCAGTGACGGCTGCCTGGTAATGCTAGCCAATCCACTTAAGGCATTATAAGATTGGGCCGATAATGTAGGCCGGCATCATCTGATGAAATCGGCATCTGACGCACAACATACTGTATATATAAAATTAGGCTTTTTTATTATCGCATCAATTAACGTAATAAATGTTATTTGCATATTTTTTATCACTTATATTTGAAATAAAAATATACATTTTTGACATACTGCTGTGTATCATAATCTTATCGTACGAACTATAAACATATGTGTATATGATAAAGCCATGAAGTTTAAGCGAATACAAAATTTCCAGTGGTTAGACGAGAGAAAAGATTTTCATCGTACGTTGTACTTCAAGATATCCAACAGCACGATTAAATTCAACTCCATTAGCAAGAATGTTTACTTGGTAACTTTTTTCTACGTTAAAGCAAAGAATTTAATAAAAGGTACATTTATGGAAAATGAAGAATTCTGCCAAGTTTAAATTTTATTTAATAAATAAATTAGTATTTTTCATAAAAAGTTTGAAAAAAACGATTTGAATCATTATTTAAATTAAGCTATTTAATCAATAATTAGCTATTGCATTTTTAAAAAAAAAAACAATTCATTATAAAATTATCTAAAAAAAAAAATAAAATAACATTTTAAATACTTAAATCAATAAATCATGGTTAAATTGAAGATAAACTTTTTACAGATTCTTTTTACTTAATTTTTTCATTTCTACCCACTCAAGTGATCCAACAAATCGAAAATTTCACCAGGAGGCCATTTTATTATATCCATTCTTATTTATTGTTAAGATTTATTCCAACACTTCAATTCAATTCGGTATACACCAGATGTGATCCATTTCTATAAAAAAGAAAATCTTAGTATTATTTTTTTTAAAAAAAAATACTAATTATTCTATGATAGGAGCCAGGTACATAGGCTAACCCTCCTCCAGGAAAGCCAGTTTCTCCTTAATGACTTCCATAATTCCTCCGTACAAACCCTTGCTAAACTAATTCTATTCTATTACAAAATAGTAAAAATACATCAAAAATATATTGAAAAAAATAATGAAAACAAGAAGAAAAAAAATAAAAATGAAAATAAGATAAAAAAAAAACAACAAAAACAAGAAAACAAAAAATAACAGTAAATATTTTTCTAATCTATATATGTTCAACTACCTATCCGGGCAACCACAGTACGCAGGCGGACCGACGTATCTGGGCTTACATGGACAAGCCGGACGAAAAAGAAACTCCATCCGTTATTTCCTCCTTCGTACGGCATGGTGGAGCTATGGAATGACAATTATCATAGATATGTAAGTTGTTAGGAACAACTTACCGTTGTAGTGTACTTCAAATAAAATATATCCCAAGACGTCTCCAAAATCAAAAGTTGTTGCGCATAATCCACAGTTGACTTGATATTCTCTTGAGGAGTTGTTGCCAAAGGAGAAATCGCCTAGGGTGTTTGTAACGTTCTTCAAATAAAATATACCCCAAAGGGCGTCTCCAAAATCAAAAGTTATTGCGCACAATAGTAAATTTTGACATTCTCTTTACTGCTGCTCGTTTGCTAAAGAAGAGTTGTTGTCAAAGGAGAATCGTCTAGAGAGACCTAAAGAAAAAGCAAACAATTTAATAAATAAATAATTCATCATTTCATTTAGTCAGTGTGATTATCGGTGATCATGATTGACTTACTATGAACAATGATATTATTATACTGAAATGATATGACTCATCATATGCCATTTAATCATTACTGCGCAAGCCGCATGTTAATTGCTGCGTATTTTCTGAAATTTTCACATTAATAACATTATTTAAAATTTCGTTGATGCGTAATGATGCGTATTAATTTTTAGTTAGTGAACGTCACGACACGTCGACACGTCGTCACGTAGCCACATCATATGAACTTTGTAATTCTGGTCAAACCCATTTTAATTTCATATTCCTAATTCTGGGCAACTTTCGAAATTTGGCTAATATTGTAAATTTACATGACGTCATTCGAATCATTTAAAAATTGTGTGTTTCCATCACTGTATTCTAAGCTACAAGTGTATTACTGTATTTAAAGAAATCGTTCACTAATAATAACTGGTTTAAATAACTTAGATAAAAAAGTACATATATACAGTAAATGCTCGTTCGCTTATTTAAAATACGTTTAACATATTTATAAATTATTATATTCCACGTTTATATATTTTTAGGATCAGTATGTATTCCTCGTTTCTTGATTTAAAATATTAAATACATTTTTTTTTAAAAAAAAAACACTGCTTATTCGTTGAGTGTAATAATATAATCTTAACTTAAGATCACCTATATAACATTGTGGTAAAGGTTAGTAGTAATATGATTGATCATGTAAAAATTATAATTTGCATAATATAAAATCACAATATTAATGATATACGCACGGAATATAAAACCATTATTATATCGTTTATATATTTAAGCTTTTCAATTCTCATTATAACGAATAAATTAAGAAGCCTCGTAAATTTCAATTTACACAAATTTTTTAATCTTTTATTATTATAATCATGATTTCACGAATCAGTTGAATCACGATTTCATTAATCAATTAGGGTTAGGGATTGTTTAACAAATTATTAAAGATGCAATTGTTTTAATTGTTTTATAACAAGTTTCATTGGTGTGACAATAAAAACTAGCCAAAATACTCGAAACAAAGAAAATAAAATCATAATTTGTAATTGTTTGATTATTAATAGGTAACATGTCATTAAATAATTAGTATTTTTTTTTAGAATTATTTCTTTGCATTATTTAATATTCCCACTTTACGTCATATTTTTAGCGTGACAATAACAGATAACCAAAATATTCAAAATATTCGAAAATAAGAAAAACCTTTTTTTATAAACCAATAATCATTGGATAAATCATTATTAATAAGTAATTTGTGCTCATATAATTATTTTATATTATCGTCTCTTTATTTACTTTACTTGCAAAGAAAAAGGGAACATTAAATTATTAAATATATTATCCAAGGTAATAAAGAATCATATTAAATTAATATTTATAATATTTTACAAATATCTATTAATGTCTAAATAAAATAATGTCTTCCAAAAATTTTGATTACATTTTTGTTAGACAAACTTTATGGTCATTTGTTTTTTACAAAATGTTTTTATCACTTATTCATTTCAATTTTCAACACCCATATGCATTCCTATTTAGTTAATAATAAATATTTATTACTAATTAGTAATTTATTAAATAATAAGAAAAAAAATCCCACCACTTACCGAATTACCACAGTGTGACACCTTGAACTTCTGTTTCGAAGCTGAAGACCGTACCTAACTCCTATATGCAATAGAGATCATAAAGAAAAAAGTATATGGAACGCTATAAAGGGTTCCGGTGAATATTGTGGAGAACTAACTTATCGTCTCAAATTCTGGGTTATTGTCGGAGTTTTTCCAGAATTTTTTTTTTTGTAGGGAAAGAAATTAATGGATGGGATCGAGATAGGGTTAAGGGATTTTTGCAAACTGTATTAGGGCTTGGGGGAAATGTTATTGACGTAATATATGATCAAGAGGTCTCTGGTAAAGCCTTCCTTCATTTGAATGAGGAACAGCTTACTCGTGATCCTAGCCCGTACAGACTGAAATATGGACCAGCTTCAGCAATCGCAGAATTGGTTGAACAAATTAAAGGAGGTAAGCAAGCTTCATTTTTTCCAGCGCTTTTTATATATTTGAAAATAATACTGAATACTTACTTATTCTTGTGCTTTTCTTTCCTGCTTTTTGTCGTCAAAACCGCCCAAAAAACAAATTACACATTATCGTAGAGCAACCCATTGCTGGTAAGTGAGTCGTAATAACTTAGTCAACGTGAGTGAACTTAATTTTTTAATCACAATTTTTTTTTTTCGTCTTCATTGTTATATTTTCAATAATATCAAGATTTCAAAATAAAAAATTATGGCTTAGTTTTTTTTGCTCGCACCGTGTCATATTTAAGGTAATGTGACCGCCTTTTTTCTTTCTTTTTTCTATATAGCCAATATGAGACCCCCTGGACGAGTCCACATTTTTGTGGACAATTCAAATGTCAATATTCAAGGGATGATTAATGTTGGTGAATTAGAAAATTTATATAACGCAGTTAATAAAGATGGAATTTGATATTTTAGAAATTTAAGAATTGATTATGGAAAGCTCCTAAAGTTAATTATAAATGATCGCGAAGTAGGAAGTATGCCATACCTTGTTTGATCACGCCTCCATCATACGATTCTCAAAAATATATCGAAAAGGCAGGGTCTGAAGTAGAAACTTTCGACCGAGGCCGCCAAAATCACGAAAAAGAGGTTGATTCAGAAATGAGAATGGGAAACGCATGTGTTGTAACACAAGCTAGTCTTCAAAATGAACCTGGCACAATTGTTTTAGTTTCTGGTGATAAAGACATGCGCCCTGGGATAAAATGAGCCTTAAATTGAAAAATGGAATATAGAGATATAGTTTTGACCCAAAGGTATATCATCCTTGAATTCTGCGCAAAACCCAATCTCTAACTTTAACGGCTTTATTAATCAAAAATTGTTTTTCACAGGAATTGCAATGAAAGCCACTTTCAAATATTTAAGAAATCATTATAAATATTTTACTTATGGATATGGACCGGATGAAACGAATACAATGAAATTTTTTGACATAGCAAATGGTAATATGTTTGATAATCATGAGGTATTGGATTTATTTACAGGAATTAACCTGTTTTGTTGGATGAGTCGAAAAGGAAATTGTTTGCGTTTATATTTCGAAAATGATGAAGATTTATCTAATGTAAAGAATGGATAAGAACACATCAAAAATAATGTGTAATTTCGAGAAATTAAAAAAAATAAATTGATGTCAGCTTCATTAACATAAGCATGGGTCATCATTTAGATATTCGTATTACACAATCCCTGCACAAGGATTTATTTCTGCAAAATACATCCATAATTGGAAAAATTATTTTATTTTATTTGTAAGCTTTAACGTGTAACATTTCCTGTACAAAATTATAGATTGATTGATTGTGCATGCATTTTTTAAATATATTTTCGTTGTTGAACATTCATATTCAAGAAAAATAACATCGTTCAATTATTTTAAATCCATAATTATAACACGTTATTGTCTTAATAAATAATTAAACATTATTATTTTTTTCTTTTTTAAACACCTTTTCGATAACGAAAATATTTAGCAGATCGCTAATTGAACTAAATTGATAATTATTAATTCACAATTCACAATATTGAATCATTAAGTTTCCGGATACTCGGGTATGTTATGTCTGGCTAAATTGTACTGTATCACAGAAAAATAAACCGGTAAAATGATGCCCTTTATTCCCGTCCTGCATGACCCGGCATGATCCGACATGACCCGAATAACAAATTTAGTTAGATTATTTGTTTACTTATCCACAAAAAAAAACTAAATGTAGCAATTATCAATGAAATATGTAAAAGTGCATGATTAAATAAGATTCCATAACGACATTCTACAAAAACTCGTAGAAACCAAAGTTTTTAATTTGGTTAAAAACCGAAAAATGAAAATAAATTAAAATTTAGAAAATTCTTTTGAGAATAATTCGATAATTTTCATCATTATTCAGGATATTTTCTAATTCTGTTAATTAAGTTGTCGCAATTGTCGTGTAACTAACTTTGTTACACAGATTTAAGTTTTCTTTGTTTGTACATCAAATTCCGAATTTTGATAATTCTTTCTTCATTAAGTTTCACCTTATATTCTTTTTTTATTCTTTTTATGGGAGAATAATCAAAAATGAAGAATAAGGATATTTTATTTTGGATAATAATAAATCTAAAAAAAAATTGTTTGAATTTATTTGTGTAATTTTTTTTTAAAAATAAAACGAATTTTCAATCACGATCATATTTCATTAAGTATATTTCATTAAGAAATTTGCCATTTCAATCACTTAAATTAATTTGGAAATACTTTTATCGTATATTATTCTTCATTTAGAAATTTACAATACAATTATTCACTTTTCCTGTGAAACCCGATTATCGTTCCACAAAAAAGCGAGTTGGCGTAAAATATAAACCAGTTCAAAATTGATACTTCGAACTTAACTTAGCTAAAACAGTTTCTTATTATTTTTACAATTTTATTAAAAATTATATTAAATTATGGAATTTGTTAAGCGAGAGGATGAGTCAAGACGATTTCGCAATCTCCGCTTCGTTATATGTGGATTACTTACTGTAATTTATGTCACCTACTTAGCTTATTTGATATATACACTTGCAACAGATAAGCCACTTCTGAATGTTGAGCAAAATTTCTTGGATCAAATAGATGTTCCTGGTAAACCTTATTATTTACTATCAACAGATTAAATTACGAAAAATTGAATCCAACTAAAAGTAAATTATTATTTTTTTTTTTTATAGATATAAAAATATGTGGGACGTCTTCAGACCTGACAATATTACGTTGCGATTTTATAATGAAAAATGGGGTCAATAATGACCTTAATAGTTGTAATAGCTATATAAGTACTGATGTAACCGATTTGGGTGCCCATCGAAATTTCTGTTATACCTTCAAGGCTAACAAAACTATCAAGTATGCCCACCCAGACAAGCCTATTGATGGTTTGTCAAAGATTGGATTCTATTTTTATGAAAATACAACCGCTGCAGAAGTAAATGCTCTTGGCATAGCTTCACTTTCCGTACAATTAATTTCCCCTGGTTAGTAAATTATCAAGAGAATAGATTTAAAAAGTTTGTTCAATTCATTAAATTTTTTTTTTTTTTTTTTTTAATATTTTTATTAGATTTCGATCCATTTCTGCAACCAGACAAGGTTGTTAGTGAAATGGACAAGGCTACTCGATCAGAGTTGAAACTTCAATGGAATTTTATTGCTGGAATGTCTCAATATGTTGCATTGGTAAGACGGTTTACATTATAAGCAATTTTTCAGTTTAATTCACATTATTTTATTAACCTTTATTATGTATTTTCTAGGTCAAATTTAAAACGAGCGTATATAATGCTATTCTTCCGGGTGATGCTAGTGCTATTATAGGATTTGGTCCCCATTACCATACAACACCAAAGATAGAAAGCTTAGTTAATTATTTTCCTTTTAATAGTAATCCATTTAATGCACCACCTGGAACAACTGGTTATTTCTCTGTGGCTGCTGGAAGTTTTATTCAGGAATCAACAACTGAAAATCGGTAATTAACGGTTTTAACAAAACATTATTAACGATAGAGTTATTTAAAATACTGTGTTAATAATTAACTTATTTTACTTACAAACTTTCAATATAGTTCATCCACTATTCTAGGTGCTATTGGATCAGCTGGTGGTGCTCTAGGTTAGTATATATATATTTTTAGTATATTTTAACAATTTTATTGGGTGTTTAATTAATTCATTCTTTTGGTAATTAAATAGGAGTTGTTGGAGGCATTGCTGTGGTACTCTTTGGTGATTCTCGTGTGAATCCATGGGGTTACGCACATAAACTCCTTAAGGAAAAAACCCCAAATGTTTTTGTGATTGACGTTGATGATCCAAATGACGCTAAAGATCAAATTCTAAAACTTTCACCTAATCGATTAAAGCTCAGTCAAGATGAACGGACAAATCTCATCGAACATGAACTTACTGAAATTAAATCCGTGATTAAACATTACTTATTAGAACATTAATAATTGGGTTATTTTAACAATGGTATGAATTTGTAAAAAAATGTATTTATTATTGTATAGTATTTTAAATGACGGACGGAAATGTAGTATAATGTTTTTTTTTTTGGTGTCAATAATTGAATTTACTTTTTATAACTTCACAATTTGTATTAAAAATATTTTTAATAGATTATATTTTAATTTATGAATTTGAAATCTGTCTATATATTAAAGTTTTGATAATAATAATAAAACCTTTTTTTTATTGCAACGTGATTAACTCTTAAGTTCCTAAGTATTGATATCTTTAAACAGAAAATTCTCTTCGTAAAACGAGTTTAACTGTTTAACTGTTTAAGCGAATTTTTTTTTTAGATTTTCGTAACTCCCGTAAAATTCTATTATCGTCATTTGAGGTATAAAAAATTGAGTATTACCAGAAATTAGGGTAGGATTTCGGGCAGAATTAAAAATTGCATGAAACTCCGCCTGCTAATATTTGGTGCGATGATGATGATTGACATACTGTAAAACCATACTTTGTATCATCATTTGATCTACTGATTTAGCTCTAGTAATTGCTAATGTTGCTGGACTTGCATATTTAATATATTTTTAAATTTTTTTAAAAAAAAAACTACCATGAAAACCGAAATACTCTTTGTAGTGATAAAAAGATGTAATTCACTTTTTTTTTAAAAAAAAAAATTTTTTTTCGGATTGACAATCAAAATCAGCCTTGATCTTTTCCAAAATTATACAACATAAGATATGAATTGTTTAAAGTTGTGACAGAAAATATTGATTACTAAATACTTCCAATCTGTTGATTTCTACTGTCTTTGCTATTCTTTTCAAAGTAATTCTAAACATTTTTTATTTATTTTAAGATAGAATTCATAAGGATCCTTTTTTAATGAATGTAATTTTCTTAATCTTAAAAAATTTGTTTTATCATTATTTCGACTGTTGATAAAAATAGTGACAGTGTTGGAACTGATAGAGTGAAGAAAGTAACAAATCCTTATAAATATTATCAGTATTATATAAGTAAAACTTGTAACTTTATGTTATTCACTTGATCAATCTGCATTATTCACTTTTATATACTTTTAATTTTACATTGGTAAATTATAGATTTGAAGCAAGATATAAATGACATATATTAACTCTTTATTTGTTTTAATTTAAATATAAGTATAAAACTTTGATACCAATATTGAATGGTTATTTAAATGACCTATAAAAAGAATTCTTCCATCTCAATAAATAAATTTTAACAAAATATAAAAAATATAGTTATAACCTAATAAAAAAATATAAAAATATATAGTTATAATTTCTAGAATTACATATTTTTTTTGTTAAATACGTTATACGGTAATATTTAATAAATTCTAGAATGATATTTTAATAGACACTTGAGATGTTTATTTCAACGACCATTATTCATGAACTTGTACTGCTGACAAAATCCTTGATTCTACTGCTAAATTTTTTAGTTCTTTTTGTTCTTATTCTAATTCTAGTTTTAATTCATCCAAAATTCATCCAAATTCTTTCTCAATGAATTTGTATCCTCTGCCATCATATTATTATTTAAGGAATGAAAATTGATATCAGAAAAAAATTAATAATGATCGACATAAATTTGCATCAAAATCATTTTTGAATTTTTTTGCGAATTTCTGTAAACTGATTGGTTAAAATGATGATTCCTTGTTATCTATAAATGGAATAGGTATTTCACTTGATCACCATATATATCAAAGAAAATAACTCAAACTCTCCGAGTAATTCCCTTTTTTTTCTTTTTTTTCTTTCTTCGTTTTTGCAATATGGCATGCTCAAAAGTATTTTTAGGAAATTTTCCCGAATTAACATATGATATTATTCAATATTTTCAAGATGACATTCCAACATTACGTTCATGTATTTTAGTTAATAAATTTTTGTGTCAAATTACGATTCCATTATTATGGAAAGATCCTTTTTCAATGAAAAATCCTAAAAACTATAAAAATTTTCATTTTATTGAAATTTATTTACAAAAAATAAATGAAAGTGACAAAACATTATTAAATAAATGTGGAATTATATTACCAACAAAAACATTTTTTAATTATTCCAATTTTATTAAATGTATAAATACAAGAAATATATGTTCAATTATTATAAATTGGTTTGAAATTAATAGAACAAATAAAAATTTTACTTTTTCAAATGGACGTATTTTTTTTTTATTAATTAAAATATTTATTGAAAATGAAGCAAAATTAAATACTTTTGAAATTGAAATTTCATATAAATACCTTACTATGGGTAAAAAATATTTTAATTCTACTTTTAATTTAATATTAGATAATTCAAAATTTATTAATAATTTAAAAAATTTAAAACTTCATTTTAATGAAGCTATTAAAAAATATGATTTTAATTATGAATTTTTAAAATGTTTTTATTATCATTGTAATTCAATTTCATCATTTCATATTAGATTTTCTGAATATAAAAGTTTTAAAGATAATCATTTTATAATTGAAAATCAATTATCACAAATTATTAATTCACAAAAAAATTTAAAAATTATTTTTTCACATATTAGATATATAAATGAATATATGCTTCCATTTTCTTCTGAAAGTATACCATTATATAATATTATTGGTGGTAATACTGATAGTTCAAAATCTTTAAAGAATATTATATTTCATAGAATTGATTTTAGGACTATAATATATATAAAAAAGGCATTTGAACAATTAAATGTTTTAGAATCTATTCATGTAATTGATTGTTTAATTTTTAATTCTAATTTTATTCAACAAATCATTGATCTTAACAAACCATTTAAATTAATATCTTTATTTATAAGAAAGGATGAACATGAATTTTTTATGAGTGATGAAAATAGAAATTTTCAAATTGAATTATTAATGAAATTATTTCAAAAAGTTGGGGAATATTTAGAAAATATTGGATTTGATTTATATGTAAATGATGAATTAAAATATAAATCATTAGAATTTATTAATAATTATTGTAAGAGAATTAAATTTTTTGGTATACATACATCTAGTATTCAAAAAGCTCATATTGTATTAGATTCAGTCAAAATTTTTGAACAAACCCTTAATTATCTTTCTATATCTACTTTTACTTCATATGATGAAAAAGATGAATCTAGAATAGAATTATTATTAAGATTAGCACATGTTCTTCCTTGTAAATTAGAATATTTGAATTTATATTTTAATACTCAGATTAGAAAAAATATTTGGGAAGTATTTTTAAAGAGTTTAAACCATGTTTTTATTAAGAAATTATTATTCAAAATTAATAATTTATTTGATGATTTTTTACCATATATAAAGGAATATATTATGAAAGAAAAAAGGGTTGAATATTTAGCTATTGAAGGATATATAGAAATTCAAGCAAGTACATATAGGGATAAAAAAGAGTTGTTTTTTATGACGGATGAATTAAAAGAATTTGAATCATATAATATTAAAGTTAAAGAATATAATAATTTATATGTTAGAGCCTATGAATTTATAGATGAGATGTATTAGTGATGTGTATAATGCATGGTATATTCATAATTTATATTTACTATATATCTATTAAGGGGATTATTATATATTATTCATTTTGTATTCAATTTTTTGGTAAATTAAATAAATATTATTGGATTTAAAAAAAAACACTATTTTTATGTGATTAATTTTCTGCACTTATAAAATAATCTAAATTTTAAATTTCAAACACTGGTAACAACTAGAAATCCGAAAAAAAGAATGAACATCATAATTAAATAAACACAAAGAAAGAAATAGGAAATTAGAAAAGTGTATGATATAATTATTTTTTTATGATGCACCAATATAGACAGATTGGTATTTTTTAAATACAAACTCATGTATTTTAAAATTACTGCAAGTGGCAGATTTTTCAATTTATTTTATGTTAATTATTTAAAATAGCAGGAGTTGGTATTTAAAAGTCTATATTGGCACGTCATATTTTTTAAAAGAATAAATTACCAACAGATATTCTGATAGAGCGATCTTAACTCTAGGTTGGATGCCTGAGGATTTTTATGACTTTTATCGTTAATAAGTCTTTTTTTTTTTTTTTTAAAGAACTTCTTGTATTTCGTTTATCCGTGTTAAAAGTTGACATGAGAATGTGTTTAAAATTACGATTTCAACAATATTTGGATAACCTATAAATTTCTTTTTCTTCAATTGAACTTGTTGCAATTAAATCTCTACGTGGAGAGATCAAAAAATTTTTATAAAATTTAATTCATTCTAACATTTAGAAAATAATTAATTACTCCTTACATATTGATATGAACTCTGAAAAATGTCAATAATTAGAAATTGTCCATCTGATGAAGATGCTAAAAGGTCTACCTTTCACTTACTGCATCAGTTCGAGCTTCGTAATTTCATCTTCAATTTATATATTTAAGGCTGTAAATTCTGAACTATCCCAAACAAGTATAGAATGATTCATGATTAACTAAAAATTCACTTGAAACTCTTTAATTGGCGACGATTAAGATTTTTTGACATTATTGTTATTCCACATGTATTGTCACGCGATGCTAAAGCTTAATTGTTAATAACTGATTTGATATTAGCGCTGGAACAAGTAACTCTATAGCAAATCAAAAAATCCGCTATCTAAATTATCCAAGTACTGTACATATTAACCCAATGAAGAAACTGACGATAATACAGCCGAAGTGATATGTGAATCATAATTTTTTACTCAAAATATATTATACATCATGTATAAAAGTGATACCTCCTTTGATACTTTTGCTTGGCGATTTCGCACTGGTAATTGGTAATGCTTAAATGTTTCTATTTTTTCCATTTTGAAGTAATTTATTGACGTTAGAATATAGAAAACTTAAAAACAGCTTGTTACTTATCAATATTATAATATAAAATTATCTAAACTAATCTATTTCGAACCAAAAAAGTAAATGTAATTAAATGAAATATGCCACATATGTCAAATCAAACAACATGCCAAAGTCTATTATCTTTATTTTAATTCAAATGAATTATAAAATGAAATCAGACTATATCTAACTTGTTAATTAAAAGACATGTCTTGATCGACTAAACATCTAAACGCAACAGATTGATACAAGTTCAGACCATTGTATTGTTTCTTTTTTGATGAGTTTGTTTTTTATTTTCCACATTTTTTGTCCACATTTTTTGACTTTATTTCAGCGATAAATAATTATAATTTTTATTTCAATGTCGTTATTCTAGTAGTCGTGTTGTGTACATATGTAAAATAAAATAATAGATGGGAAATGAAGAAAGTTTATTTTTGAAAAATTTTGCAAAATAATTTCTTTCGTTGTTTCAATGTATTTACTCAATTTTTTTTCTCTTAACATTCTTAACATGTAAACTATCATGTTTTAATGTAATATTAGAGTAATTCAAGCTTAAAAACAATCTCTGAAACAAAATTTTTAAATCATAATCTAGAAATTAACACTATAAAGTATATTTTTACAAGAAGTCAGTTTAAATCAAATGAAATGAATATTTTTTTTTCTTACAGTAGTAAAAAAATGTAAAGAAAAATTTGAATGTGATAGGACGGATCTCTAGTCGAATACTGAATATTAAAGTAAACGCCCTTGTTTGATGTACTGTAATACAAAGTGCAAAAAATTTTCAGGTTTAGAACCAGATTTACTTAATAGGATTTATTATGCAAAGTCGCATGATTTGTAAAATCAGCCAAATCAGCCATGTATGTAAAGATATTTTTTGAAAAACGTAATTATAACGTGGGATTGTTGAGATTTTAATTCATAATTTGTCTCACATTAAAAGGGTCGAAGACGTTATATATTATTTATATATAGTAGACTCTACTTTAATCTATTATTATGAAATGTCTTCATAGTAAAGTGTTTTTAGTTAATTTTTATAATTTAGAGTTTATTTTATAGCTTCTTAAAATTTTCCTTTCCTTCCCTTATAGAAATAATGTTAAAGAAGTATAGGATAATAAACACAATGATAAAATCCGAAATGTCACGATTTATCTAATGTATTATGTATACCGAAACTTGAATATCTGATTTGAGTGTTCAGCAACAATAAGAAAGTTTGAAGGCGAAAAAAGTTATTATAATGGAAATTTTCTTTGTATTGCTCCATCATTATCTAATTTATCACAGTGTAAAATCCTCTGCAATAATTGCAAAGCTCGTGATGCAAGTTTTAAGTTTTAATACTTCAATACATTTTTGTACGGATAAATGATGCATTTTGTTTTCTCCTATAAAATTTACTACTCTACATCAAGCCTATAAAACACTGGATTTTCGCATTATTCATCCAACTATCAAAATATGTTTTCTAATGTAAAATAGCATATTTATTGTTACAAGTTATTATTTTTCATTTTAAGCATAGATTGAATCTTCGTAATAGTAATTCAACCGCCTAATCTAATTACTATTAAATGATTTTCTTTGCATGCATTTCCGCCATTCTAACTTCTATTTGACTTAATATATATATAATTTCAGCATACGACTGATTAAGTTTCTCAATTGCTTTAAATTCTTCTCTATTGGTTTCATTCTTGACCTCTTGGAATTTTTCTCGAATTTCTTGTAATTTCATCTTATATATTTCACCTGTTGTTAATGTCTCCATTATTGTGTACACATTAGGTGGGATAGAATGACCTTTATTTAAGCTAATATAGAATTACCTCAAATTAATTATTAACATTTATCAATATATAATTATTATTAAATTATTATACCTTGATATTTGTGCGCGATTAGCTTGAATCAACGAGAGAAAATCACCAAATTCATTATTTGAAGGCACAATAGTAGTTTTAAATTGTTCATTAGGCAGTCCCGATGGCTTTTGACCTTTACTTTGATCACAAGTATTGTGTTTGAGAATCTTATTTAATTCACCTTCTTGCAAAGCAGGTTTGTCCATGACTATAAATGAAGGTAAGAAATTCGATTTATTAGAGAATATCTTTTTAGTTGCCAACCCTTTCTCGAATTCCTTAACTTTATTATACAATACCTTCGATAATTTGTTCATCATTAGAAACTGTCTCTTCCTTAAATTTAACTGTATCAATTGCTCCATTTTCTTTAAGTATTCTCGCCACCATATCATTAATAGTGTTCGAATAACCAATAGTTCTACCACAACACTTATATTCGAATTGCAATCTGCTAATTTTAAAGTGCATTGCATATGGAGTACGATTTTTCATATTATGATGATCTAAAGCTCTAACGATGATTGTTCTTTGATTTATCTTTCTGTTAATCCAATCATCATAATGATCAAGAATATATTGTAAAACATTTATAATTTCCTTTTCCGTGTATTTCTTTATTGGAACCTTGGTTCCATTTGACGAAGACGTTGGAACAGATAATGTAACTGCGGTCTTTTTTATTGATTTAGTTTTTCCCATAATATGAAAATAAGTAAATCAACAAGGTAAAATTATGTTTGGAAAGATTTAACGTTTATTTATACCAAATTTAAAATAATTTAAAATTTTACTAAAGTATAAAAAAAGTGTAAATTATTTAATTATTCATCTTATAACATATTTTATATCGAAATACATTTTAATACTATGAAATTAAAATGATTCATACTGTACCCACAAACGATATTTATATAATTTCTCAGCTGATAATCATTGAATTTCTGCTACTGCGGACAATGCTGTCAATCTGATAATCTGGTACTTGACATATTATCGTAGAGTAAAAAAACAGACAATAACCTTTTCCTATTCGGTAATCTGTCGTACTCACTAAAATATAGTATTATAATTTTTTTTTTTTTGATATTTTTTAAAATAAAATGACCGGTTAAACACTTGCAAAGTATACTCTTTTTTTGGTAGTGATATACATGAAAACTTTGCCTGTGAATTTATATCTAGATCTTTAGATTTTAAGATCCATGAAAAAAAAAAGATTATAAGATTCATGAATAAGAATAATATAACGCCATGAATTGATGGCCTTTATACATATATTTTTTCTTCATAAAAGCATATTACATAAATTACGCGAAAAACATAAAATTTTATGTGTCACTCAATCAATATATTACACAAAACTGGTAAATATTACGTTACCAAGTAGTGTTGGACATTAATACTTTTCGCCATTAATACTTTTCACATTATAAAAAATAAAAAAAAATAAAAAAAGCTCAAAATTAACAGTCATATATTCTCTGGAATCAATTTATTTCATGCTTATTTTTTACAGGCATGAGTCAATGTATCAGGATTATCCCATTCGAGAAACCTGGCTGATTAGACCGATCAATTATAGTTTGTATTCCGAAGATAATCTTTTTTTTTTTAAAAAAAAAACAATTTTTGAATTTTTTTTATTACTTTCTTTAGATGGATATTTTATCTTGGGTTCCTTCAACTTTGATTTTGCATTGCCAGTTTCTTTTCAGCTTCGATCTGTAAATAGGTAAGTTTTGTATGGTTTTTTTAAAAAATTCTTTTATAAATGAAAAATTATTAATGTTTCATTTTTATTTTGTAGGTTCTTTTTGCTTCATTTAAGCTTCGGAAGGTGAAGTTTTTTTATTTATGCTAGTTTATGGAAACATTTTACTAACGTTTCTTTTTTTTGTAGAAATTGCCAGCTAGAACGAACCAGATTTTAAGGAAAGGAGATCTATTTTTTTTAAGAAATGAACTAACATTTCTTTTCATTATTTTTTTTGTAGATTGCTGGATTGGACACAAAACTGGACTTTATAAGAAATGGGAAAGAGGGATTTTTTTTTAATGTAATTTAAGAAATGAACTAATGTTTCTTTCATTGTTTTTTATAGGACGTTACCTTGGACACGAAACTGGATTCCAATGAGAATAGGGAAGAGGGGAATTTTTTTTAATTTCTAATTTAAGAAATGAACTAGCATTACTTTTCATTATTTCTTTTAGGGTGCTGGCTTGGACATGAAATTGGACTTTAAGGTAAGAAACAGAAAAAGAGGAGGTTTCTTTAATTTAAGAAACAAAATAACATTTCTTTTTGTTGGAGTTTCAAATTTTTTTTAGATTTGTTCTTTTATTTCTTTTTAATGTAATTTTTCTTTCTATAGGTATTGACTTTGGACTTTGGATGTTAACTTCTTGGACTTCTTCAGTTATTTATAACTAGAAAAACCTGAAGTCAATCACGAGCATTCACAATTATTTCACATTACAAGAAAATCATATCATATGAATCAAGGTGAAACCTCTAGTGAAATATAAATACCATTTATTCCATTTTTTCATTAAAATAAAATAATTTTTTTATTTTTTTTTGAATTTTTATAATTGAATATATATATGAGTTTTTATTAGCACTTTTTATATTTTCGAAGCATAATGTATTTACAAAATTAAGTTATTTGATGTCTTCAATATTTTTTTTTAGATTTTTCTTTTTTTCATATTATTTTTTTTATTATGCTAGTAGTCACTCATTGCTTCGCACTGGGGATCGATGGGTTTAATAAATAAATACCAATCCAGCAAAATTTAAAAAAAATGATAGATAATAATAATATAAATAGATTTAATGCAGATATATAATATATATAATTTAAAATTTTTTTATATTGTATAATCTAAGAATTTTTTAATTATAGGATATGATAAATAAAAAAAATTTACTTGTATTAAATTTACCAATAATATATCTAACTATTTTTTTTAATATAATATAAATACAATATTTTACCAGCATCTGTTTTATCATTATAGACAATGTTAAAACATATGACCGCCGTTGAAGATCATTCAAAATTTATTGTTTATCACGTTGTCCTTGTATTTTTAAGTAAATTTCAATGGCGAATTATTGTTAGTGAAATTATAAGTCAGTAAAATGAAGTTAGTTAATTTATGTCAGTGAACAGATCTTGATATCCCTATAAAAAATAAGTGTCCGGAAATTGTCCAGAAATTGTCCGGAAAATTTGTCTAAATAATTGTCCAGAAAATGTCCAGAAAATGCCGGGTACCATGTCCGGAAATTGTTCCAAAAACACACTCGTTTCTGGACACTCATTTTGTCCAGAATTTGTCCGGAAATTGACCTGAAATATTTTTTCATAAAATTTGGCACAAAAAGATGATCAACAGGTGACCATCATTATAATTGCTTTTAACTTAAAGTTTTATATCATAGATATATAGTATTTTTGCCTGCTTAGCAAATTTAATTAGTATGACAAAGAAGGTTATGAATGTCAGTCTTGTGCTTTTTGCATTTTTTTACAAAATTAATTTATCCTTTTTTGGAAGTAGCGTCCAGAATTTGTCCAGAATTTTTTCATGTCCGGAATTTGTCCAAAATTTTATACTGGACAAATTCTGGATATATTCTGGACAAAGTCCGGATATGTCAAAATTTTAGGTATCAAATTTGTAGCAAAAAATAGACATTTTCCGGACAATTTCTGGACATGCCAGATTTATTCTGGACAATTTCCGGACATTTTCTGGACATTTTCTGGACATTTATTTTTTATAGGGTATAACAATGACTTTGTATACTTTATACTGTTTTCATGTTTTAATTTAAACATAAGCTAAAAAAAAATTCATACTGTATAAACGTTATTTTAAAAGGTTTTTTAATGTTCTTTTATTAAACCTTTAGATAATCAAACAATATATATATATATATAATATTGTCATAAAAGATAAAAAAATATGAGTACTATAATGTTCAATAAATAGAATATATATTTTAATAAATACTGAAGAATTTCATTTCAATAAATCAACAGCCATTCAATCTATCAATATGGTTGAATTTAATTTGCTGCTAAATTTTTAATCCTTCTTTTTCTTGTTTTAATTCCAATTTTAATTCATCCAAATTCTTTCTTAATGAATTGATATCTTCTGCCATCATATTAGAATTTAATTGAATTGTGGTTCCTTCCTGAGAATTAGTAGCAAATTTAAATATATTATATTTATCAAGATTAAAAGAATTCAACTTAAGAATATTTTCAATCATGATGCTAACTTCCAACTCTTTATTTTCCTGAACAATTTTCTTTAAGGAGTAATAATTTTTGTTCAGCCATAATGATTCATCATTATATTTTACAAGAATATTTTGAAATTCTTTAGTATACTTGTCAATTGATTCAGAGGTTTTCATAACTCTGGTAGAACTAGTAGAATTGCTATCCTTATTAATAGAGTTATCTAGACAATCAAAACATCTTTGCAGTTTTTTAATAGCTTCTTCTCGTAAAGTTAAGAAATCTTCCTTGGCTTTCAGAAAATCATTAACTTGATTGAGAACCTGTTTTTTTCTATTAGCATCATAAGAAGTTGATGTTCTTGATAATTCTTGCTGGAGCTCAACTAACTCTTTTTGTTTAGCTTCTTTTTCTTTATGTATTTTTTTAGTATTTTCTCCACTAGTTAATTTATTAACTAATTCCCCTTTAACTTTATTCAATTCTTTTTCTTTGTCTTTTAACTGCTTAATACGCTTTTGATCAAGATTAATCAAACTTTGTTCTAATTCATTGATTTTACCTTCTTTAATCTGTAAAGCTTGAGTCAATTGCATTTTGATTTGTTTTTCACTAATCAATTTTTGTTCCAATTGAGCAATTTCTTTTTCTAATTTTACTTTAAGCTTTTGATCCTGTGACAGATCTTTCACCATACTTTGTAACTTAGTTTTTTCTTGTTCTATTTGTTCATAATTAACTTGAGACTGATTTAGTCTATTTTCTAATTGCTCCTTTTGTTTAATTAAACCTTCTTTATGAGATTTTAATTCCTGAATCTTGACTTCTGTTTGAGTTAATTTTTCTTGCAAATCAATTTTTTCTTGCTCTAACTGGCTGATTTGAATTTGAACTTGCTGGTTAGTCAGTTTATTTTGTTCCAATTGTTCAGTTAAATTGCCAGCTAAATTTTGCTTTTCATTTTGCAGGTTAATAATTTGGGTTTGAAAAATGTTTTCTTTTTCCGCAAATTCCTTAATTTGTACAGCTGATTTAAGCCTCAGATTTTGATTATCTTGCTCAAATTTAAAATTTCTTTGTTGCAAATCAACTAACTCATTTTCTAACTTAAGATTTTCTTCTTCTATTTGATCCTGCTGAGATTTTAATTCTTGAATATTAGCTTCTGATTGAGTTAATTGATTTTGCAGATTATTGTTTTCTTGATTTAACTGACTGATTTGTTTCAACTGTTCAGTTAAATTGCCAGCTAAAGTTTGCTTTTCATTTTGCAGGTAAGTAATTTGGGTTTGTAAAGTATTTAATTTTTTTGCAAATTCTTTAATTTGAACAGTCATATTAAGTCTTAAACTTTGATTATTTTGCTCAAATTGAGAATTCTTTTCTTGTAAATTAGTTAATTCCATTTGAATATTCTGATATGCTAATTGCTTTTCTTTTAATTCATTTTGAAAATTTTGATAATAAGTTTCAGCAATCTTTTCTAATTCAAGAAGTTCCTGCTCGGCATCAACATCTTGTTTCAATTCAAAAGAACTCAATTCTTGAGATTCTTCTAGATTTTCATTTAATTCTTTACCAGTAAAATCAAGTAAATGACTTGTATAACATGCTTTTGGATGTGGTTCTATAGTAAGGTTATTATGCCCAATTGGTGCATTTATAAATTCAGGAAGTTTCTGCTCAGCATCAACATCTTGTTTCAATTCAAAAGAACTCAATTCTTGAGATTCTTCTAGAATTTCATTTAATTCTTTACTAGTAAAATCAAGTAAATGACTTGTATAACATGCTTTTGGATGAGGTTCTACAGTAAGGTTATTATGCTCAATTGGTGCATTTATAAATTCCATAATATTACTTTTTAATTCATCACTGACCTCTTCAGAATAGAAAACCCAACTGGTAAAAATATTTAAAACTTCTTCAGAAGATGGCCTTTTTAATGGATCTTCATCCCAACATTTTTTCATTAAATCTACATAACATTGTGGAGTATTTTCAATAATTTCAGGACGTTCACCTTTACAGATACCTAAAGCAAGTTGAAGATCATGTGCTTTATCACTAAATGGTGGAATTCCAGATGTAAATTCCCACATAATCATAGAAAAACTATATATATCACTAGCCTGAGTATAAGATTGACCTTTTAAAATTTCAGGTGCCATAAATGGTATAATACCATAAATATTATTTTCTTTTAAAAAAGATTTTGCAAGCTGATATAATCCTAAATAATCACTAATAAAAATTCCATATACATCATTTTGATATTCATTACATAAAATATTACCATCATGAAGGTTATAATGAATAAGACCTTTTTCATGAATTTTATTAAGGCCAGTATTAATTTTATATAAATTGAGTAATCTCAGTTTCCAATTTTTTGTTATTTCTGATAAACATCCTCTTATATTACCTTTATTTGTATATTGCATTATTAATATATAATTTGAAGCATCTGGATTTTTTGTAAATCCATATATTCTAATAATTCTCTCTGAATCAATAATTTTCCACTATAAAATAATATTTAGTAAATTAATATAAATAAATTATTATATTGAAAAAAACAATATTTAATCATACTTCATTTAAAAATTCATTTAATCTTTCATCTGAATTATTAAGATAATTGAAAGATTTAAGAATTACGTTATAAGAATTACACATAGCGTAATAGATAGTCCCGAATCCTCCTTTCTCAAGATATTCAATATTTTGAAATTTATCATAAGGAATCCATTCTAATTTATTTTCAGAAATAAATTGATCCATAATTTTACTTCCACTACTATCAGATCTTTAAAAATAAAAATGAAAATATGAAATTATATTAAAATTTAAAATAAATTTAATATTAAATAATAATATTAATCATATTTACCCTAATTAATTAATTTAAATTTATATAAGTATAATAGAATTAAATAAATAATTTTTAAAAAAATATTTGAATAATTTTTTAAATAAGAATTTAGTTAATTTAAATCAAGTAAATATTATACAAATATAATAGAATTAAATAAATAACTTATAACTTACCAACTAAAAATATTTGAATAATTTTTTAAATAAAGAATTTAGTTAGTTTAAATTATATGTAAATATTATATAAATGTAATAGAATTACTTACGATCTAAAATATTTGAACAATTTTTTAGATAAAGAATTTAGTTAGTTTAAACT